ACGTTTACAATGGAATGTATGTCGCTACCCGAAACGCCATGCGTTCTTTCTAAATACAATAATGATCATATATAGCTTATCAAACGGTTTTAGTTTAAGATGTGGCCATAGTCCTGGATCATAACGACTGACCGATTCTATGAACCTGTATCGCAGATCGTCGAAAAACACAGCACGGCCGAGGTGTTAACGCGGTGTGAGTTTACACTTGTGATAATATACACATGTGATAATATTCCACTTTCCTGTAAACACATCATCTATGTCATTAATGACAATGGAAATATATAGTAGATAAAATGCACGATGTCAGGTCGTGGCCTTGAGGGAGGATGGGTAGAAATCCAAGTAACGGTGTCAGCAAACATGTGCCATACGTTAAATATATATAAGGTAATCATATCAAGATGTAACCGCCACCCCACTCCCACCCAAACCACCCGACTCCTAAGCATTCAGGATATGAAACTGACGAAACATACTGTAGTCAGATGATGTGATTGTATTCCGATCTGGTTCCAGATATTTCACGGAATTTCGTGAAATGTTAACTACAATATGAAGGGAACACGAGACAGAGAGACAAAGAGAGAGAGGGGGAGAGAGAGCAATAATGATAGAGACTACTTTGCTATGTTACATAATGTTTATAATTAGATATAGTTCCTTATGTTCAGATATTTGTAAGAGTTATTCACAGACTACCTTATAATCTACACAGAGAGAGAGAGAGAGAGAGAGAGAGAGGGAGAGAGAGAGAGAGAGAGAGAGACAGGGAGAGTTCGTGCTCAATGAGAGAACAGAAGCAAACCCCGACTAAGTGTTGAAACGTGACAGACATCGGAGATTTAGTATGAAAGCTGGAATTTTAGAAATTGGCACGTAGTGATAAATTTCTACAAATCACAAATCTTCTTGAAGGACTACTAGACTACGGGTAGACAAATACCTTTAAGCTGTATGTCCCTCTCGCTTAGACTACCACTAATTGGCTCGAAACCCAATCTCTAATTGATAGTGATTTATCAACTCCGTTTCAGTAGCCTCGACACATGGTAACGCGAGATGCACGCCGCCATCTTGGCATAACACAAACTGATGACGTAATGCTCATAAATTACGGAGTGTCGCCCCATCGCCTGTTCCATTGGTTGATTATGTGACTGTCACGATCCAGATGTATGCCTTTAAACTGATGTCACTCGCTGAATGGTCTGGGCCTCTATTTAGTGTCTATTGAAATTGGGTCTCTCTTTAATTCATCAGGATCTCGTTAAGGGCTAAATTGGCGGACAGAAGCACCGCCTCTGGATGTCGAGATTATTAGCCTCTGCTTTGCCTCGATACATATACAGCAATTGAATAAGCCTACAACAAAACGATTTCGCCTATCGCTTCTTCTTTTCCACTTTTATGACGTTTTGATGTTCTACGCGTTCTTTCATTGAATGAATCGCACTTGAAGAAATGCAAACATATTACCTTCATTGCCCTATATGTAATTTGCACTTAGTAATTTCATCAACTTCATCATGAAAACATGAAACTAACAGTACACTAGATAACATTCCGCAGGATCTGGGTGATAACAGTGAGTCGTAATTTATTACAATTATTGGTTTCAAAATATTTCTTTCCTTTTTGAATCAATCATTGTGTTTACTCTACTGTTGTTGTTTTTATTCGGTAAAATTGAAAAATACTGCTTTTGTTCTTTTCTAGACTTTATCACTGTACATAATATGTTAGTATAATAACGTATTCACACAATCAAACATGTAATAAATAAATCATAATATGTTTGATATTGATTAAACGCAGTGATACAATATTATAATTCATCTTTAGCGTTAGAGGCAATAGGGTCAGGAGTTTAAATCTGAAAAGATTTGTGTGGGTTCTAAATGATCTGGTGTTTCCTCTACAATTGAAACGTAAATAGATCATGAATTAATTGACGTAAAGAACCCAAAGACCCACAGCCTAAAAAACCTTAAAATGTTTGAGTTATAGACAAACGAATATCGGGGAGACATGATTTGAATCACATTCTAAGATGTCCACAATCAGTAATGGTCGGACAGTGTATTCACGGTATGTGTTTACAGATTAAACGTCTTAAACGTTATATTGTGATTTTGTTTTCTTATTTACATTCAGTAGTGCTGCAGGAACAGATGCATCAAAGTTGCATCCTCGAGATGCAACGACAGATTTTTAACCGAGTGTTTACCCTATGGTAATCACTTGTTTTATTGCACTTGCTCTGGTTACCGCGGCGATGGGTGATTATAAAAATATTCTTAATGAGAGTGTGTTTATTACGGTAAATATTAACATTTTTCGGTTATTCCTTTCAATAAGTGTTTGAAAAAACCTACATGTATTAAAATCTAGTTTCTTTGAAGATGAAATTATGGACAAAATGATGATACATATTTTTATATGAAACACTTTTAATGATAGGTACAAACAAGAAATGTCGGCATTTTGCTCTTCATAAAGAGCATCGCATTTCCGTTCCCGCTGACCAATTCAAATCATCGGCAAATCCAGCCTCCTCAAACTTATCAATACTTCTTGTCATTTTCAACCCTTCAATTCGCATCCTCCCTTTAAATCTGATATACCGCCGTTCTCTTTTTATCTTCAACGTCACAATGGTCAAGATTGTATTTTATTCCACACCTATTGTCAAAACGTACCTGTCCGTAAAAAAAATATCGTATGCGCAATTAAGTACACGACAAGATAATACGAAAACATCCTGTGAAGTGGTCATGAAATTGCTTGTCGAGATTACCCTGATGCATCGGGGGTGACAAGCGTCGCACCTATCGACCGCTAGGGGGCGGTCTGGCTGTCATCTTTATATCAAAAGGTAGTGTTCTTACCTTTAAATGTGAGACTACCTGTAATAAGTTCTGACACTAGCGGACTTTGCCGAACGCTGACGCCGAACCTCGTTACACTCGTTTTTCTTTTAAAAACGCTTTTCTTTCTCTTAAAGTTAACAACGGCAAATCTCGTATGTTGCGTAGCGACAAAAGTATCGGGGGGATAATAGGACCCCCTACCTGTTTTCCACTCCTCCCTGGGGTAGTCGAACAAACTAGGAAAAGCTGCTATAATCACGATGAACAAGATGCTTTTGTACTACGCTCCACATCTTCGCTCTTCGCATCTTTCCTGTACAGACGGTTACAGGAGATCGGCGGCTCCCTCCTATAATGTGATCCTTAGGAATCTGGTCCATTCTGTGGCTATTCTTCCCCTACTCGGAGCGGGGGAAGTTAGACACCTGGTGGTATGTGAAAGGGGCGAAGTGGAGAAAATTATATGATTTGGACAAGTGAATGAGTTTTTCTCAAAAGGGAAACTTATTTCCTTTTCCTGTCGGTAACGTTGCGGTTCCTCCACATGAATACAAATCACTGGTTCTAAACGACCAGCCCTGACCTTTGCCCCGGGAAGAGATTTGTGTCACTGATTGACAATCTGGTATTGATCGCGAGATAAAAACCAAACATTAACCGAAAGGACACCGTCTTTAGATACAGTGCCGTAGCTGTAACAAGGTATCAGTGAAGCAGAAGCTTGTAATTATGAACTCAGCCATATTGTAACAATATATTCAGTTTGAAAAGAAAAAAAAAGGTTCTGCATCCCAAACATTCATTTACTGCATGTGTATTTTTTTCTAAAACGTATAATGATGTATGAACCTCATTCAGAGTAACAAAGATATCTGAAATAATGTTTTATATATATTTATGTTTTTAAATACGAGGGTATTTGTTTGAAAAGCGTTTGGGTGAAGTTGTTTTCAACCTTTTCTATTTACGATATCCATGTACACACATCGTGTGGGAAAGTACGCGTTTCTATTGAAACTATTTTTGTTGCAGCTAACACTTCCCAGCACATTACGGAAACGAAAGAATGTGCGTGAAAATGTCTCAAATACCTCGCAAAAATATATAATATATATTTAAAAGTTTGGAGGTGGTTTTTACGAACGACTTTTCCACCATTGAGATCACGCTCGTGAAACTGCTGCTCCGATCTGCTAAACCTTACGGATCTATTTAGAATCATTTGAGCTGAGAAGGGCTTTATATTCTGTAAGCTGTATCTAATTGTATGAGACTAGCAGAACACACAGATTGTGAAGCTATTAGGAAGTAGCGTTATGTATTGCAAGTCAGGAATATCGAGATAAACTCATTGCAAAATGCGACCCACCATCGACCTCCGCTTCGGGTCATCTCATAGGATCGTTAGCCGATGGTATTTAGTGAGAAAAGCGATTTCGCAACGGTACACCATCCAAATAAACAAAAGGATGAGGAGTCTAATCAAAACGCTTATAAAACAACAAACACACCAGGATTCGAACCGGCTAAAGCGCATGTTTACTCCCTCTCGACATGGCTATAGCTCAACAGACGTTTTTTATACTTTATATTCACAGTAAGACGTCGCCGGTATCGCGCAATCTCTCACCCCACGAAGGAACCTGCAACGTTGATGTTGGAAAAAACGTTGCCTTATCAAAACGTCATCGACGGTGGGGCTGCAAGGCACCATTCCCTTTCTCCGCATCCCAATAGCATCCGTGTTTCCTTGATAATCACAAGCCGGGCGTTTTGATGTTTTAATGATATACATCCAGTAGGTCTGGCTGTGCGACTCCCTGACCAACCGCCCCACCGCCATATGTCGCCCTCCTTGCTGTGCCTTCAACCCCCGCGATCAAATAAAATTCACGAATAAAAGAAAGCTTTGGAATTAAACTTTCCTGCAGCGAATATCCCCCATTTATATTTGAGATGGGGTCCTAAATGTTTACCTGCCGAGCGGTTGCTATGGAAACGTCTTAGTTTGTAAAAATATTGCCTATTAAACAGTGTCTAAACCGGTGAATGTATTCATAAGACGCACACCGTAACCTATACGTTTTCATGTCATTAAATAGTTTAGTTTCGAAGTAATAGGCCATGCACGACTGTACAGGATGCTGTGCACTCGAGACGGGGAATGGTCAAGTGACCATGTTAATCCTTACCTGTACAGTGATGGACAGTTTGCATTTAGTTTGGAATACCGATTTTCAGGTAAGAAGACGGTATTAGCAAATACCCCTCATCCTCGTCCCTCGTTCTCGAGGAAACAAGCCTTTTAGCTATATTTAAATGAAACATCTAATATTTTTGGTAGTTTTCAGTAAGTAGACATCTGTACATATATTTGTGTATTTTGGGTATATGTGTGGCATAATTTATCGTTGGTTACGCTATGAAGTGTTATATTGAATTTTAGAATGTAATTTTAGATATACTTTATCAAGTTTGAGGACTTAAAACGACTTATATCCAGTACTTGAGAACAAAGTTAATAACATATGGTACATGAGAACATTAGACTCCATATGAATAATTATTTCACCTGTTTTGAAATCAATTGAATTCAAAGATTCAATGAAATTAAATGTGTATAGCTACAAGCTAGTGTACAAAGAAACTAAACTATTTGTTTATTTATGTTTATTTTTTATTTTACCCGCTAAATTACTCACATGTACACCTTATGATACATTCATACATTCTGATATTATATATTGTGAGTCAGGCACGATCTATTCTATCGTCACAGAATACAGGATTTAGTAATTATACTTTTAATCAGATAGTATTAACTTATTACTCATTCTTCAGACAATCAATCGTAAAATAGTTCCTCAACGACCACATCTGGGACCTACCTTTGCCTATTGTAGAACGGTGTCGCCGTGAGGCTGAAGTATTGCCGAAGCTACGTTTTAACTCACTGTCACGGAACGACCCCTTTAGGATACGCGTATTGAGTTTTCTGAACATTTATTTGTTAATTCATAACGCACTAACAAGATAGTTACACCAACAATGCAATTGAATATCGTAGCGATAATTATTGCACTTAGAAGTCAAACGTGTTATTCATAACAAACGTTTCAATATTATCCGATTTTGCAGTAGTTTCCCAAAACAATAGCACACTCACTCCATAGCGGAAAACAGCAAAATAATCTATTCTTCGATGTTAAGACTGAAATACGTTTTCTATTATTTAACATAATTTTCTTTGAGCGAAAAACATTACCGTTCAATATTGTGTCTGATAAAACATAACAATAGTAACGTGTTTTTTGCAATGTTTGTTATTTCGACTCTGTAAAGCTGATTACAATGTGCGTAAAGCTTTAATATCTCTCTGATGAATAAGAGTGTGACGTTATCTTATCTACCTCTCGTATCGACAATGTGATCTTCGTATTATTTTATAGTGCAATACACGGCAAAGCGATAACAGGCTGAAACACTTTAATCAAAATTATTATAAATTTGTATACATTTGACATAATTTTCTTGATACCTTTTTAAAGCTCGTGAAATGTTAAACGATCTTAATCACATCAGCATTTTCAAATAGTGGTTATGAATCTCATCGCCCATATTATAATTTTTTTAATTAAGTGTTGAAATGTACGAAACCCGTAAATTAACCTGAACATGTTGTCGTGATGGTGATGATAATTGTTACTGAAAAAGGATTGACAACAAACAAACAAGAAATTCTCTTACATAATGAATAAATAACATGCGTACAAAGCTTCCACCGTGTCGGGAGGGTTGGTGTATGGTGTTATGACCAGCTGCCTTTTAGTACACTGTACTGGCACAATAAAATAGCACTTTAGCATGACGTACTATTAGCATGCGAAATGTCTTCGTTCTCTAAATAGAATCTGCCTAATTAATTATATATTTTTTTCAACCAGGATCCTACAATCCATTCTAAATGGCGATGACATTGTTGAGAAGAAACCTGTTTGTCCAAACTGTTTGTCACATGGCCAAACATGTTGTCATGGTTAAGCTCATAAAATACAAACACATCCATCATTGATTTAGACATGACCTTAAAGTTTTTAAAATTAAAGATTAAGTTAATCTCAAGGGATTATTTCCTCAACGAATACTCGGTCAATAGCCGCCTTGGTTGACAACGGCATAAGGATCTATAGCGAAACCTCACCTTTACAGTAAATGAAGAAGTTGTTATCTAATTGTGTCTACTTTTGTAGTTTGTACTGTTTTCCGTGATTAAAAAAATAAGTCTTTTTAAAGGCATTTAGAAGTGATACACATAAGGAAGAGAATTTGTGGATGTCAGCTTCTTTATTATGAGGAACACAACGTTTCGGAGTGTTGTGTACTCCTTTGTCAGGTCAATGGAGGAGTATGCATATACTCTGAAACGTTGTGTTCCTCATAATAAGGAAGTTGACATCCATATATTCTCTTCTTTATTTAAGAAATTGTTTTGAAATATATTGAGGTAAGTTTTTAATTTGGTCGGAATACAGCGCGAGTATCATGAGTTGCCCTGTCTTTTCTCGGACTGCTGTGGGTGATTCATTGTATAATATATTGCCGCAAATGCACACCTCTCATTCTACCTTACTTTCTGAATATTTTAAACAACATGTACCTTTGTCACTTCTAAAACTGTATTTGAGGGCATGTTGAGGGTTTAATATCTATTTACATATATATCTATTTCCCCGACGTCATTTCAAATTTAATATATAGAGTCGGTCTAAACTCCTTAAAAGCAAAAACAGCTGCTGATAACACAGACATTATTTGACTTTAGATATACATGTATACATGCTTATATTTCTTACCATATAGGTACTGTATAAATTATCATAAATTCCAAGATCACAATGACCCATTGTTTCTTGAATAAAATGCTTTCATTATCATACATTTAACTTTAAACTCGTAGGTTTATTTAAATAAACTTCACTTCCCACAAAACCGTTCATAAACCTGGTCGTATATTTACAGACAAGATATGCAAGGTAGAGGTCGCGCTATAAATAGATGTCACGTCGTGGGGGGTCCATAGAGAGCATCTAATATTATTAAATCCAGCTTTGATGAGGGCTATTTGTCCTCGAACACTGACGTCATGGAGAAGTGACTTCGTCGAATAACCTTTATTTTTTAGTTAATGGTTATCTGTCCCTCTAGGAGAGCAGCAAGTACGTATTGATAACTAGTGAATAAAACAGAATTGAAAAGACATTTGTATCATCACATTGAGTGAAAAATACGTATAATGAATTGTAGGAATCTAGCTGAACAGTTACAAAGCAATTAAACAGTTTCTACGTAAAGAAAGAAGACATTTCATAAAGGAGAATATTTTATTTGCCCTGATGATAAAAATATTTTTTTATTAAACGCAATTTGGAAATACACTGCATGTTATTCTGCCTTTTAAGCATCTCCGTTCAAGCTGTCTATTAGATTACTCGATAATATGGCTGCGCTTACAGCTGATTAAATACAACGGACCTGTTTATAGTAGGGATGACGATGTTCGAGTCGTTTTATCAGAATGCAGGGTACCATTCAGAACCCTCGTATGCACTCAGTAAAATACAAAGATTATTTGAATTAAACTTAAATTTAGTTAAACTCGGAGTTTATTCAATATAATTTGAAACTTTTGAAAAACCATGTAGTTTGCATAACATAAGATAGAATAATGAGCATTTTATTAACGCATTTTTCAGTAGCATTTACACGCATAAATATCCAATAATATCGCAACTTACAGCAATATATTCAATACACCTATAAACTGACAAATACAAACTACGGCACGTGACTTCGGACTGTGAGGATATTTCTTTCAATTAGTCAATATCAAAATAGAGCAGCGTGCATTAACTCGGCTTAGAACAGGAAAGTACAAGTTTATGCGAATTGTAAGTTTGTTTGTTTGTATGTATTTTGTATACTTACGTATTCGATGATTTTGAAACACATGGAAGATCTCTTCTCCTGCTTGGTAGGCCAGTGTTGCGGTTTGTCGTGATATTAAGGACAAATGGTTCACAGTCGGTCAGGGATATGCGAATTATGAATCTATTGTAAAATACATTTAGTTCGATGATTTAGAAATGTTCGCTTACATTTAATGAATAAAAATTACAGCAACGCGAATATTTATTAAATATACAACTTGTGTGTCTTTCTTAGTAAGTCGACACAGTGGGGAGTGATAGTTGAGTGGGTATTATCTGCATCTAGTTTTCATAATAATCGTAATAATAAAAGCGACAAAACCCCTTCGATATTCATAAGAAGTCTCTGCCAAAAGCAGAGTCAGTTGTGCGATTCTGACTATATTATGAGCATGTGTTTATGAATCACTATCAATAGTGATGATACCAGGTGTTCCTAAAGTGGTGAGCGTATCCTGTTCCATCGGTGGCACCCGTCACAAACACATGCAAAGGCAAGTCGCGCCAAACAACATTCACATCTATCAACGCCCTTATAATCTCTACAAACCATACTCACTTCAACTCTATCTCTATACACCCCGACATACCCAACACCACCCCTCCCACCCCAACACCACCCCCTCCCACCCCATCCCACCCGCCATCACCACCCAAAGCACTATAGCTCCACGACACACAATTGCCTTCCTGTTAAAACCTCACTGTTTCTGGCGGTGATGATATATTTCGATTAAAAAGGTTATGTAAAGACCGTTTTTTACGACATTTATTCTTAAATCATTTTGATCAACTTTGATAGCAAAGTTTAAGGTGCACGCACCTTTCCATAGAGTTCAATATTAATGCCCATTTTGTTATTTGAGCTTTTGTTTCTTATAGCCCGTGGATGAAAAATGGCGTTTTCCGTCACAATTTTGATTTATAGTGTGTCCAACGTGTAGAATAGTGTGTGTGATCTCCGCTTATTCTCTCCATTGGAGACCAATGCCCCCGTTCCGAACACAAGCAGGGCTCAGTAAATTTTGCAAAAAAACAGACTCGACCCCACTAGGGAATATTTGAAATCCCCCAAACAGCATCTGTTTAGACTTTCGTCTCCCAAGGTAACGCGTAATAGCGTAATGTTTTCCTAAACGCAGAAATTCATCAATAAAATCACTACTCCGGAATATGAGTGAATGAAAAATTGACATTTTGGTCGAATATTGCAGGCTCATATTTGACTGTGTGCTAAATTGACTAGCTTATGAG